ACTATAAAAAATTAAATTGTAGAATATGATATATATATATATATATATATATATATATTAAAAATCTGACCAAAATACCCTTGTTTATGTTTTGATGGAAACAACAAGTGATTAGACATATATGACTTACCTCTGACTCTATTGTCTTCTCCACCGTGATCGCCATATGTAATTGTATCCTCATATTTTTGCTTATATATTCTTACGAACCTGGTTCTTTTTCTCAGTTTCAGAAAGATAAACAATTCACAATTAAACTGTACTATTTCGTTGTGTGTTTATTGTATTTAGAAAACATAGAATATAAATATTGGTTCTCCTCCTCCTTCTCCTCTATTAATTCTGGTGACAACTCCAATAGCTCTTACCAATTATATCTCCTCTCCTTCGTCATGGTTCTTATCTTTCAAATGTTAAAGAAGATGGAAATTTCACATTAAAAATGTAATATTTTGGTGTATTCTATTTTATTTAGAAAATATATAATACAACTATTCTTCCTTTTTTTTTCTTTTGTTTGTTCGGCGTCAACTCTACCAAATCCTCATGCATATCTTCTGTTTAACTCCTCACGGCGAACTATTAAAATAGTATATAAAAAGGGAATTCGGCCTAAAAAATCACGAACTTTTCACGAATTGCCAAATAAAACCTGAACTCGAAGCTGGCCAAAAAAATACTGTACTTTCATTGACTTTTTAATTTTATTTGAGAACTTATCATTGACTTCCCATATTAGTACACCGTCAATCTTACCGTGCAGACGACGTTATTTTGACGTTAAATATCAATGTTAAGTGAAACGACGTCGTTTTCTGTGTTTTTAAAACGAAAAATATATTTATCTGAGGACTCGAACTCGAGAACTAAAAGCCAAACAGCATGCTCTTTCACCACCAAGCTAACAACACTTCTGATGAATCTCAAACATATTTCCTTTTATTAAGTATCCAAAAAATCTTTAAAAACCTTAAAATTTTACAAAAATCAATAAATTCTAAAAATATTAAAATAAAAAACTAAAATACAAATCAAATTTATTTTTCTCTAAAATTAATTAAAAAATTCATAAAAATCGAAAAATGCGAAAACTAATGATTAAAAAGATGACAAAAAATAATGATTAAAATATTTAAAAAAATATTTTTTATATACAAATTAATGTATCTAAGATCATTTGTGTATTTTATCTTTAATTCATTAATCATGCGAAAAATATAGTGTGATAAATATAATTTTGTCTATTATCTTGCATGCATTCATTTATATAATAGCAAATTATTTTAATCATTAATGTTAATTTTGTAGATTTATTTTTATTTTTTAATTTGTTGGACGTTTTTTTGTTTTTTATAAATTAGTATATTTGAGATAAAACACAAAAATGATATTTATCACACTATATGTTTTAGTAGAATTTTTGTTTTCTAAAAACAATAAAAAAATTGTTGCGAAGATATGATAACAAACGAACATACACCAAAAACTAGAAATGTTTTTTATTTAATTATTATCTAGTAATGTATATAAATATTTATTTTTTTGTTGTATGTTCATTCAATATCATATTTTAGCAAAACAATTTGTGATAGTATCATTAGTTTATTTTATCTTAATTATCATTTCTATTTATCTTAAATACATTATTTATACTAAAATTTATACTGTGATAGATATCATTTTTATTTTATCTTACATACATTAATTTATGTAAAAATAGGTTTCAATTTTTTAATCATAAATTTAATTCATTGCATTTCTTTGAATTATTTTAGAATTTTTCAAATTTTAATGTTCTGATTTTTTAAACAAAAAAATTAGTTGCAATTTCAATTTTAATTTTACCTTTTCAGAATTTTCTTTTTAAGATATTTTGGAAGTTTTAAAAAATAATTTAGATTTTTCAAGATTTTTTTGATACTCAATAAAAGAAAACATGTTAGACATTTCCTTAAAAGTATATGTAGCACAATGGCAAGAAACCTCAAATTTGGCCATGAGTTCTTAGGTTTGACTCACGCAATCGACATTTTTTATTATAAAAATAGGTAAAACGACGTCGTTTCATCCCATCTCAAAACGACGTCGTTTTACTTAACGGATCTTAGCAAACGGTGTTCAATCATTCTGTCAAATTTACTAACGGCGTGTTTAATTGATAAGTCAACGATAATTTACTGATTAAAGTTTAAAAGTCAAATATTGTTCAGTATTTTTTTGGCCAGTCAATATGTTCGTGTTTGTTTTGGTAATTCATGTAAAGTTGAAGCTTTTTTGGTCGAATTCTCTATATAAAAATGAAAGAATAACAAAAATATAGGAATATATTGCTCTATATTACATGTCTTATAAATATAGTATAGTATAAAAGTTCATCGCATTTGCTAAATGTTCACGGAGAATGAGAAAATCAACACATTAAACACCTTACTTTATTGCATAGTTATTCACTCAATATTTTTCTCAATATCGTCATTCTACTAATTTATCTTTAGGGCGTTTCAGCTGAAATCCCACTATATATTAAATGAGAAGTCACTTTAGTGATTTTTGCTTAGGTGTCACTCATAGGTGCATTTTAGAATTAATTCTCTTAATTTGATTGGTTGGTATTTGAATTTTCATTTATTTAAATCAAGTTTTTAAAAGGAAACTAATCATAGAGTTACCTAATATAATATTTGTTACCAAATAAACAATCAAACATCTTAAATTTAAATAAATTAATTTATTTTTTTTTGTTAAAACAATTGATTATCATAGATTACGTTATATAAATTTATAATATAAATATAAATACATATGATACTACATAAACAATTATATAAACGGTGTTAAATATATTATATTTATAGTGTATACAATAAATGATAGATTACAGAAAACTAATAATATTTTTACTCACTATATACATATATTATAAAAATGTGTCAAATGAATGCAAACAATCAAATATATATTTCAAAAATTTCAATCATTGTAATTGACAAGTGATATTATAGTTGAGTTATTATTTTTATAAATGATTAGAGTATTTTTTATATTTAAAAGATCATATTCTCATCCTACTATATATTAAATGAGAAGTCACTTAGCGGCTCCATAACCGAATAGCAAATAGATTATCCAAGACGGTTCGAGCTTTCTATAAAAAAAATGTATTATTGGTTGTTATATTCCGGTCTGAATTCTTCGACCATCTCAAGTTTTAGTAGTTGAATAATATTTTGATGTAAAAAAAAAGAGAACATCATAGTTCTAAGTGTATAATTCTGATCACCAGAATTTTATAATACAAATATCTCTCTCTTTTGATATATCAATTAAAAATAATAAAGGCAATGGTCAGACATACAAAAAATGTGTTTATTCTCTTATGCTAAAGAATTAAAAATCATTTAAATAAACATGGCGTATCAAAGTTAAGATCATTCACTTGTGGATGAACTTTAATAAAAAAACCGGAAAATCATTAAAATGATTTCCTCGATAAAGAAGTAGATAATTATTATTACTAATTCAAATTTTAAATGGAAAAGTCATTTTTACTAAGATTTGTTTTTTTCTTAAATATATTTTGAATTGTAATGTTCTTCATAGCTGCTAATTCTACTAAATATTTGCAAGGTAGTTTATTTTATTTTTTAACTGATCCACATAAACTTTTGAATGTTCAAACATGTGACAAGAATTCATACTTCAATTGAATCAAATCTGATCAAAAATATGAAGACTGATCTAGACAACGGTCATGCATGGTCGTAATGTTATTGATATGATACTTAAAAAGTTGATTTTGTAATTTAATATTTTGATTTAAATTAAAAGTTATTTTTTTTCATTTTATCAGATTATAGAAAACAAATTTTACTTTTTTCCTTGACAAATATGTGTGCTAATATTTAGTTATTTAATAATATAATGATATCATTACTATTTTTCCTATTTTATTTCTGAAAGTTGTTATAATTATTAACTTAATATGTTTATTAATTTTTTAAAATATTTAAATAAAAATAAAAGAAAAAATTCTATTTTAAAACTGAAATATTGTTCTGTTTTATTAAATTTGGTATTTAATCTTATTAAGTAAAATTAACAAAATGTTATAAAAGATAAATATATTTATGGATTTTTGGTGTAAATTGAAAGAACCGAAAACCGACGGTATATATATCAAATCCCAACAAAGTCTATATGGTTTTAATATGGTAGTTTGTTTTATAAACCAAAATACCAAAAAATCAAAAACCAAATAGAAACCGAACCAAAATCCAGATTGAACACCCTTACTACTACATCATCTTTGCGGATGAGTCACCTAGTTTATAATTATTCTCTAAACATATTTATTTTCATAATTATCATTCCACATTTATGGATGATAAACTTGGCATACAAAATAGTTATTTACCGAAATTTTTATTTAATTTGTTACATATTTTATTTAATTTCCTCGAACAGAAAAAAAAGAAACTACGAAAATTGTTTTGTTTTGTTTCAAAACTTTATAACATAAAGACAAGGGAGTGAGAAATAGAAGAAGAAGAAGAAGAAGTGGTGATTATTTTATATAAACCAGAAAGCGATTCATCTGGTTTTTAATTTCCCCTTGAAAGGATTTTTCAAATTTTGAAAAACCAAACGTTCCCGATTTTCATCACTCACGTCCACCGCCGCCGCAAAAAACCCGTCTTCGCCGCTCCAGCTGCTTGTAAATAGCCGACGGCTTACCTTTCTGTTTATAACGTGTAAGTCGCCATCTTGCTCTTATAAAACCCTAGTTTCGTAGGGTTTCTGTGCAGTCGCAGTGTTTCATAAAATCCTCAGGTCTGGGCTAACTCCAATTTCATCGCAACTTCTGGGCTTTCCCCAATTTTTTTTAATTTGATTCGATTAGCTTTTGACTTAGATGACCACAACTTGAACCGATTTCTCGTAGCTATGACTTACCTGATTATTGGATTCGTTTCAGGTTTCCAGCTGATCCATCGAAGCAAATGTCTCTGCTAAGTAGGTTCTTTTACAAGAGACCACCAGATGGGTTGCTTGAGTTTGCTGATCGAGTTTATGGTAATCACCTTTTAACGATTGATTACATTTTTCATGTTCTAATTTGGCTAAATCTTTCTACTTTGGACAGTTTTTGATTCATGTTTTTGCACGGAAGTGTTGGAGGATGACTTATACCAAATCTTTCTCCACCAAGTCATCAATGATTTACATGAAGACTTCCCCGACTCATCTTTTCTAGCCTTCAATTTCCGAGAAGGAGAGAAAAGAAGCGTCTTTGCTGAGACTCTCTGTGAATACGATGTTACCGTCCTTGAGTATCCAAGGCAGTATGAAGGCTGCCCTTTGCTTCCTTTATCATTGATTCAGCATTTTCTCCGTGTCTGTGAGAATTGGCTCTCTCGTGGGAACCGTCAGGATGTTATTCTTCTTCACTGCGAAAGAGGAGGCTGGCCCCTTCTTGCTTTTGTCCTAGCTAGCTTTCTTATTTTCCGGAAAGTTCATAGTGGTGAGCGCAGGACTCTTGAGATTGTGCATCGTGAGGCTCCCAAGGGTCTTTTGCAGCTCCTTTCGCCCTTGAATCCCTTCCCTTCTCAGCTTCGTTATCTTCAGTATGTTGCCAGGAGGAACATCAATCCCGAGTGGCCGCCTCCTGAAAGATCTCTTTCTTTGGATTGTTTGATTATTCGAGCTATTCCCAACTTTGACTCCCAACATGGATGTAGACCGATTATACGCATCTTTGGAAGAAATTACAGTAGCACATCTGGTCTTTCCACTGAGATGCTTTATTCTATGTCTAATAAGACTAAACCCCTTCGGCATTACCGACAGGTTGGTTGGTGTGTTATTCTTTCTCTCATTTCTTTAGACACTTCTCTTTCTAATGTGGCTCTGTATTTTCTGCCTGCAGGCAGAATGTGACGTGATCAAAATTGACATCCAGTGCTGGGTGCAAGGAGATGTTGTACTGGAGTGTGTGCATATGGATTTGGAACCAGAACGAGAGGTTATGATGTTTCGTGTCATGTTCAATACTGCATTTATCAGGTCCAACATACTAATGTTGAACTCGGACAACTTGGATATTCTTTGGGAGGCCAAGGATCATTATCCAAAAGGGTTTCGAGCAGAGGTGTGTGGACCTTCTTGTTCACCTCTATAAGTTTTATATGAATAGAAGATATGGGTGCTAGAGGAGAAACAATTTTTTTTAGATGGGTGGAGTAAAGATAGTCCATACTATACATGCGCTTGTTTCTGACTTATTTCTTTATGTATTCAGGTTTTGTTTGGAGAAGTTGAGAATGCTTTGCCTCAGAAAGTTCCAACGCCAATAGTAAATGGTGATGAGACTGGTGGTTTGCCCATTGAAGCCTTTTCTAAAGTTCAAGAACTTTTTAGTGGTGTGGATTTGGCTGAAAATGGAGACGATGCTGCTTTGTGGTTGCTGAAACAACTTGCTGCAATAAATGATGCAAAGGAGTTCACAAGATTTCGGCCCAGAGGGAGTTTTTATATGAATTCTCCTGACTCTGAAGAGGAGACCAACACATCTAGTGCCGCTGATAGTTCAGATGAAGGCTTTGATGGCGTTCATAGACCTCGCATTCCTCTATATTATGATAATGATGACACCGAAGACATTCCTATACCTTTTGCTCCTGAATCTTCAGAGGAGCCTCATGAGTTCTCTCGTGGACAACAGCAAGAAGTTCCATCGAAAGACAGTGTCCAGCCTTCGGCTCTTACATCCTCTGCAACACTTTTACCTCCACCGCCACCACCACCTCCTCCCCCTCCTTTTTCTGTAAATAAAGTTACAAGCATAGGCTCGTTGTCATCGCAACCCCCATCTCCACCACCGTTATCTCTCCCTAGTTTCAGCAGTAGAGATCCTCTAACAATATCACACCAGCCTATCAACAAAACCCCACCACCACCACCACCTCCTCCACCTTTCTCTAGAAGCATTTCTCCACCTTTAGCTCCACCACCACCGCCGCCACCTTTGTCTGGGAGCACAGAAAATAAACTTCAGGCGCAACCACCTCCACCACCACCTCCTCCACCTTTCTCTAGAAGCATTTCTCCACCTTCAGCTCCACCTCCTCCACCACCACCCCCACCACCTTCGTTTGGGAGCACAGGAAATAAAATCCAGGCGCAACCACCACCTCCTCCTCCCCATCCTCCAATCCGAGTATCTTTGACTAAATGTGTACCGTCACCACCCCCACCCCCACCACAACCTACATCTCATTCTGGTCCTGCTCGTGCTAACCCACCTTCAGCGCCCCCACCACCTCCACCTCCGCCTCCTAAGGCTAATAGTTCAAATGCCCCCATGCCACCTCCTCCTCCTCCACTTCCTGCTCCTGCTCGTGCTAACACACCTTCAGCACCCCCACCTCCACCTCCGCCTCCTGAGGCGAATATTTCAAATGCCCCCATGCCACCTCCTCCACCTCCACTTCCTCCTTCATCTGGAAAGTTGGGTGCTCCCCCTCCACCACCGCCACATCCTCCTTCATCTGCAAAGTTGGGTGCTCCCCCTCCGCCTCCACCACCACCACTATCCAAGACTCCTGCTCCCCCTCCATCCAAGACCCCTACTCCTCCGCCAGCGTTGGGTCGTGTTACAAGTAATGGCCCACCACCATTGGGAGCAAAAGGTTCAAATGCACCGCCGCCACCTCCTGCTGCAGGAAGGGGAAGAGCTTCCACGGGAGTTGGAAGAGGCCGAGGTGTTAGTGTGCCTACAGGTGCACCTAAGAAAACCGTGCTAAAGCCTTTGCATTGGTCTAAAGTCACTCGGGCAGCAAAAGGTAGTTTGTGGGCTGATGATACTCAGAAACAGGAAAATGAACCACGGTATGTTCCTCTTGCATTTTCTTTTTGACGGTTTATCGTGACTTTCACACACTCTGAATAATTGACTGATAATAAAACACGTGGATAGGTCGTTCCAGTTGTGTCTTGCAGTTTTTCTTACCTCCCAGTAGCTACTGCGTATCTCTCTAAAATAGTAAAATGGTTTATGATTCTTTATGACAGTGCCCCTGAAATAGATATATCGGAGCTCGAGAGTCTTTTTTCTGCAGCTTCTGATACCGGCGCTAAGAAAAGCACAGGTCGCAGGGGTTCGAGTATCAGCAAACCTGAGAAAGTTCAACTGGTGAGGCAGATCAGTTTTATCTCTTTATATATCTAATATTTGTTATATTATGTATATAAATTCTGAAAATTATCTAAATGTTATCATGAGTAGGACTTATCAAGCAGCTATCGCCTAAAGCTTTTGATTACATAAGTAGATTGTTATTTGATGAGACAAAGTTTACTCCATTCATTGGTTACTAAAAAATTGACACTTATATCTTTGAAAATTTATTCCATCAAATAGGTGGTCTAATTGATCCATCAAATGGGTAGTCTATGACTAATATAAAGGATTATGATTCTTGCCTCGTTGTGTGCTTATATTCTACTACTAACTTTCTTCTTGTGTTTGTATCAGGTTGACCTGCGAAGAGCAAATAACTGTGAAATAATGCTTACGAAAATTAAGATTCCTCTACCAGATATGCTTGTAAGTTTTTGTTGTCGGTATATTCTTTACTCATCATTTTGGCATTGAAACAATGATGTAGGTGGATGTTCGGAGTTTACATTTCTTTGTCTAACTTCTAATCTAGTTGCATCGCTTTATATCATGTTGACGTATGTCTACTAACTGAGAATTTCATATCTGTTGCTTATCTTAGAGCGCAGTTCTAGCCTTAGATTCATCAGTTCTGGACATCGACCAGGTTGAAAATCTCATCAGATTTTGTCCGACGAAGGAAGAAATGGAATTGTTGAGGGTAATCTTAAAGTTTATTGTCATACTTCTCTAGAATACCAGGTTCATAGGTTCTGTTTGGCTTCAAAACCCAAGTTTCTTTTCCTTATAAAGGTTTAGCTACTGTGATTTTATTAACCAGCAAGCTTGACCAGAATTTTGAACCAAAGAGAATATCCTGTTGATTTTATTCCTTTCAGCAATTCCTTAATGCCTAAAGCTAACTCGTGCTGTTTTTGTCTTCAGAATTATACTGGTGACAGAGAAATGCTTGGGAAGTGTGAACAGGTTTGTTCCAGTTCTTAAAGCGTTGGATGGTACATGTTTATAACCTTTGTTCTGACTTATAACTTTGCAAATGTAACAGTTTTTCATGGAACTAATGAAGGTTCCACGAATAGAAGCAAAGTTACGAGTGTTTGGTTTCAAGATAACCTTTGCTTCTCAGGTATAACTATAAATACTCTCTGTATTGGTCTCTCCTGTTTTGTGTTGATTTTTTTCTTGCTCTTTTTAGGCGGAAGACTTAAAAAGCTGCCTTAATACAATAAACGCTGCTACTAAAGAGGTATAGTGGAGGGTGAGATCTTCTAAGTCATGTAAATATATATCTCCATCTTGGTAATTAAGTTATTATTATCTTGTTGCAGGTGAAGGAGTCTGCAAAGTTGCGTCAGATTATGCAAACAATTTTAACACTGGGAAATGCTCTAAATCAAGGAACTGCAAGAGGTTACATATAATTCCTATTGATTTCCAGTTTTCATGATTTTTTTTTCTGTAGCATCTTTTGGTAATGTATTGTCTTTTTGTGTTGCAGGGTCTGCTGTGGGTTTCAAACTGGATAGTCTTCTTAAATTATCTGATACGCGTGCAAGAAATAACAAAATGACTTTGATGCATTACTTATGCAAGGTAGATGCACATATTCTTCTTTATCTCAGTATTTGTGCTAGTAGTGCATAATACTGTTTGCCCAGTTCGTTTCCTTAGGTGCTGTTTTGAGATGAACTTACGGAAATTTTCTTGTTTACTGTTTAGCTTCTTGGTGAAAAACTGCCAGAGTTGCTGGATTTTGCTAATGACCTTGTTCACTTGGAAGCTGCCTCGAAGGTACCCTTGTTTTATTCATGCTTGCTTTTGCTTCGCTTCCGTCCTCTTCATGTTGCGTTTGCCTTAATAGTTTTTGAAATTGCAGATGGAATTGAAAACGTTGGCTGAAGAAATGCAGGCGTTTGATAAAGGTCTTAAAAAGGTTGAGCAAGAACTCATAGCTTCAGAAAACGATGGTGCGATATCTCTGGGCTTCCGGAAGGTGAGCTACATGTGAAAAGATGTTCTTAGTTTGCTCATATGGGTTTCTTGGTTAATTCACAAGAACCACAAAATCTTTTTAGCTGTGCTAAATTGGATCACTTCATGTTTTCAGGTTTTGACGGAGTTTCTTGCTACCGCTGAAGCACAAGTGAAGTCGCTAACTTCTTTATATACAGAATCGGTGAGTTACTTACACACACTTTGAGGACATGCATATTCGAAACTCATGTCCGGTCCTAGTATTAATTTGTAATTTACAGGGAAGAAATGCGGATTCCTTGTGTCACTACTTCGGTGAGGATCCAAGTAAATGTCCTTTCGAAAAAGGTACATGCATAAAGTCATTTCTTATAGATTGGTAAAAGCCATGGTGAGGCAACTGTTAACTTATATTCTGACCATTGTTCCTATCTACAGTGACCCAGATTCTGACTATTTTCATGAAAACTTTCATCAAATCACGAGAGGAGAATGAAAAACAAGCAGAGGCTGACAAGAAGATGCTGGAGAAAGAAGCAATGAAGGAGAAGCCATTGGTAAAGAAAGACGGTGCTGATTCATAGACATAGAGAACGTGAACAAAGGTCGGTCTTTAACCAAAGACCTGAGGGTTTCACATTACTCAATGTTTGCACATACCAATCAAGAAGCAGAGATCTTTCCTAGATCGTAGAAAAAGTTGACAACTTCACTGCGATGATTTTTAGATGGAAGCGTAAACTCTCTATGTTGTAGATGATACTTGAACTTTTATAGAACCTAGTATCTTTGACTGTGCAGATAAAAACATTTTTTTTTTTCAAAGAGCAATAAATCTTTACATTCTACTTGTCTCATAACATAATGAAGAGAAATAATCAGAAGCATTGACTTGTTCTAACAAGTTCTACATCATTTTGCTCCGAAGCAAGATTTTAGCTTCTTCTGTGAGCATGTTTAGATTTTTTACTTTTGCAACGATGAAGACTCAAGACAGAGCAGAGGAAAGCTCATCTCGATGTTAGAGATAAACATTAAGTTAACTTGGAGACTAAGTTACAAGAATCCTAATTGCGATAGGTTTAGGAATGTGTTTTACCTAATGAGTTTAAGAATTAGAATCGTGTTGCATAGCTTGAGAGTTTTAAGAGTTTGAGTGCTTGAGTTTTAAAATAGTTTTTCTTAAGTTAATAAAGAAGAGTTTCTTTATATTGAGTTCTTATACAATCTTTAAACTTATGTTTGGTTCAGAGCTATTGCAATCGATCAAGAGATATGGGAGAGTTAGTCACTACGACGGGCACGAAAGATGGAGGTCTTTCCTATATAAATTGTCTGATGTTAACTACGACAAATTACACCGTATGGGCTATACAGATGAAGACACTACTCAGAGTTCACAAGACTTGGGATGTAATCAAGTTTGAATCAACGAAGGAGAGAAGAATGATGTTACGTTGAACATATTGTTTCAATGCATCCCTGAGACGTTAATTTTGCAGGTGGGAGAACTTGATACTCCAAAGAAAGTATGTGATGCGATCAAAACTCGCTACGTAGGAGCTGACAGGGTTCGAGAGGCATGTTAAAAATCCTATTAACTGAGTTCGACCAATTAAAGATGAAAGAAAACGATAAGATTGATGACTTCATGGGCAAGCTATCAGAGTTATCTTCAGAGTCAGCCGCTTAGGGTGAAACTATAGCTGAATCCAAACTTGTGAAAAAATTCTCTAGTTGTCTACCACGAAAGAAGTACATACACATTGTTTCCTCCATAGAGCAGATGCTAGATCTAAACACCATGAGCTTTGAAGATGTTATAGGTCGTCTAAAGACATACGAAAAAATGGATCTATGATGAAGAAGAAGACACACAAGAGAATCAGAACAAGCTCATGTATGCAAATACAGAACCACCAGCAAACCGTGACTACTATGGGGAATATAGAGGGCGTGGTCGAGGAGGTCGATACTATGGCATAGGTAGAGGACATGGAAGGTCTTATTGGGATAGTAGAGACTCCTCGAAGGTTGTATGCTTCCTGATAGATTACTCAAATTACAAGAGACAACCGAGAGCAAGAATGGAGATGAAACTCAAGAAGCAGACGGACTCATGATGCATGAGATTGTCTATCTAAATGAACGGAACGTGAAGCCTAATAGGAGTTCGAGTCTAGCACTGATGGGGATAGAATATGGTACTTAGATAATGGAGCATCAAACCACATGACTGGAAATCAAAGCTACTTCAACACCATCGATGAAGCAATCACTGGAAAAGTTTATTTCGGAGACGATTCAAGAATAGATATTAAAGGAAAATGATCTATAGTGTTCATAAGTCAAGACGGGAAAAGAAAAATTCTTGCTGATGTCTACTTTATCCCAGAGCTAAAGAGCAATATTATAAGTCTCGGTCAAGCCACAGAGTCAGGATGTGATGTGAGAATCAAAGATAAACAACTTACTCTACATGACAAGGTCGGTAACTTAATTGTCAGAGCTTCACGGCCAATAAATCTGTTATACAAAGTTGTGATGGAGATAGAAGAACCAAAGTGTTTGTAGACTGAATTGCGAAGTGATACATCAAGATGGCATGCGCGTCTAGGACACCTTGGAGTAGATGCGTTGAAGTCAATGATAGGAAAGGAACTAGTTACCGGAATTCCCAAGATGAAAGTAGAAAAGGAAACATGCGAGTCTTTTTTTTACGTGCAAAACAAACAAGACGACCCTTTCCAACATCTACTACATATCTTGCATCTAAAGTATTATAGCTCATACACGGTGATCTCTGCGGACCAATAACGCCATCTACTGCAGGAAGAAACATGTCTATATTTGTGCTCATAGATGACTATTCTCATTACATGTGGTCTATTTTTTTAAATAAAAAAGGAGAGGTATTCACAAATTTCAAACGCTTCAAAGCAATCGTTGAGCATGAAACTGGTACAACCATCAAGACACTAAGGACATATAAAGGTGGAGAGTTCACAAGCTCTGAGTTTCAAATTTTTGCGAGCAGGTATACAACGGCACTTAACCGCTCCATACACACCACAACAAAACGAAGTTGTAGGGAGGCGTAATAAAACCTTGTTAGAGATGACAAGAAGTATTTTGACGCATATGGAGGTACCAAATTATCTCTGGAGAGAAGCCGTGAGACACTCAGTCTTACGCCTATAGTCCTTCTCATCTATGCTCTCCTCTCCTTCTTCACAATTGATTTGATTTCTTCTTCACATGCCTCACGCCATACCTTTTCTTCTTGCTATTTTGAAGTCCCATGGCTCCTCACTGAGAAGAAGCAATAAACGTTTTCCCTTTACTTCAGAAAGGTAAATATAATCATCTAGATAAGCTGGTTTCTTACTAATTCATCACCTTCGTAAGTATCCTCGTCGTAGTTGTCCAGATAGCCGGTCGATCGTCGGAGGTGTGTTACTGCTTCTTCATCACCTTTGTCTTTGGAGTCATGAACATTCTCTGCTTCATAAGTATCTCTGTTATTGTATCACTATTGTCTTCGTTTGTTGTTTCATTTGCTAGTTTCTTCATTCCCATGATTCCCACATTCTCCGAGTGTTACTTTGAATGTTCCAGACTTCTCAACTATATCTCGACCAGACTTGTTCCATTCCCATGTTTCATTTTCTTCAAACACTACGTCTTGGATGACTACTACTCTCTGTTGCGTGGGATCAAAGAGCCTATATGCTTTAGAGCCGGGCTCTGAGTCCAAGGTGAACAAGAGTACGAGATCTGTGATCCAATTTCTTCAAATTTTTTGTTTCTACCTTAGCGTGTGCAATACATCCAAACACTCTTAGGTGATTGATGCTTGGTTTTCTGCCTTTGAATGCTTCATACGGAGTCTGTGACAGTAAGCTATTTGTTGCTATTCGGTTTATCAGATATGTTGAGTGTCTCACGGCTTCTCCCTAAAGATAATTTGGTACCTCCATATGCGTCAAAATACTTCTTGTCATCTCTAACAAAGTTCTACTACGCCTCTCTACAACTCTGATTTTCTGTGGTGTGTATGGAGCGGTTAAGTGCTGTTGGATACCTATGACGGAGCAGAGAATGTTCATGACTCCAAAGACGAAGGTGATGAAGAAGCAGTAACACATCCAACGATCGACCAGAATTAGTAAGAAACCAGCATATATGGATGATTATATTTACCTTTCTGAAGTAGAGGGAGAACGTTTATTGATTCTTCTCAATGAGGAGCCATGAGACTTCAAAACGGCAATAGAAGAAAAGGTATGGCGTGAGGCATGTGAAGAAGAAATCAAATATGTTGTGAAGAACAAAACATGAGATATTGTAGACTTATCACCAGGAGCAAAACCAGATGGTCTTAAATGGATATTCAAGATAAAACGGAATGCAGGTGGGAGAATTAACATGTACAAATCAAGACTAGTGGCCAAAGGATACATTCAACGACATGGTATTGATTTCGAGAAAGTTTTTGCTCTGGTGGCACACATTGAAACTGTTAGATTCATTATTTCTTTAGCAGCCTCAAACGCATGGGAGATTCATCATCTGGATGTCAAGACCGCTTTTCTTCACGGAGACTTAAAGGAAATTATGCATGTATGTCAACCTGAGGGATTTGAAGTAGAAGGACAAGAAGACAAGGTATACAGACTTAATAAAGCCTTGTGTGGGCTGAGACAAACCCATGGAACATGGAATGAGAAGATTAACAAAGTTCTTGAGAAGCTAAAATTCAAGAGATTTTCTAAAGAACCCTCCTTATACCGCAAGCAAGAGAAATATTGTCTTCTTCTAGATGCTGTGTACGTCGACGATCTACTGGTTACTGGGTCTGATCAAGGCATGATATACGAGTTTAAAAGGGAGATGTCGAGTAAATTTGAGTTGAGTGATCTCGGGTTACTAACTTACTACTTAGGTATCGAAGTTCGTCAAGAAAAAGCGAGAATAACTTTGAGTCTAGGAAGATACGCAAATAAAATCTTGTGTGAAACAGAAATGAGTGAGTGTAACACAACACATACTCCTATGGAGTTTGGTCTGAAAGTTTCAAAAGAAGAAGGAGAGGAGAGCATAGATGAGAAAGACTATAGGCGTATGATTGAGTGTCTACGGTATCTCCTCCACACTCGTCCAGACTTAGCCTTTGCCGTGGGACTACTAAGTAGGTACATTCATGATCCTAAGACTTCTCATGGAGTAGTCTTGAAGCACGTCTTAAGGTCTTTGAAAGGTAAATAATAAATCATAAAAGTCACTAAATATTCTTTTTTTTAATTATATAAATTAAAAAAATTTCTGGTTTAATATTTAGTTATTTTTTTTTATAAAAATATATATTTTTTGGGTAACAGCAAATAGATAGAGAAATTATTTTTTTCCTTTATTTTTTTTGAATACCTCTTATTATTAAACTTTTAATAATTTATTTAATCAAATAAATTTTAAATTATTTTTTATTTTTTAGATAATTTATATATTCTGGTCCTAGTTTTAACGTGAGAGCTGGAGACGAAAAATCACTTTTCAAATAATAGTATATATATTAAGTTATAAATGTTTATAATATAAATTAATCAAAATAAACAAATATCATGATATCCTACAAGTCATATGCCAATATATATTCAAGAATCAAAAGATCAACTTACTCTCAGTTCTCGTGATAATGTCAAACTTTTTTAAATGAAATTTAAATTTATTAATCTTTAAAGAAGTGAATATTTATATACACAAAGAATCAACAGAAATGAAGCACAATACTACTAAAAACACTATGAGTGAGCTCTAAACCAAAGCTGTAGAGGCCCCTCAAGCGTGGTGTCTGAGTGTACTATTTTGACGTAATTATGCTCCTTA